GGGCAACTCCGGAGTTAAGTCCCCTAGCAACAAGAAAATCTAGGTACAACTCCATGGTAACCATCATTGTAAAAACTGGAGGTACCTGTAACGACAAACTGGTTGAGTAGCTGACCGCTTCTCACAGTATAGATGTTATTGACTACTCTACATGACCAGAATGTATCTCTTTCACAATAAGACACGCGCTTATATAGAGAAGAGGAAAGAGAGATATGACCCGGAGATAGTATGATATAGAGGTGAGAGGATAAAGAACAGAAAGAGATGAACGATATCATTATCGTTACAGCACCATCACTCATTCACATGGAACACTGTAACTCCGCTTTTTATACTGTAACACCCCTTTAACTCCGATAAATTTCCATGAAAGAACCCGGAGTTACCCATCGATGTTTGTATTTAGTTGAGAGCGGTAGGGTGACAATCAGAGTAGCATGTTCAAAAAATAAGTCTGATTCTTATCCTCTACGATACATTTACCCTCACCCTCAAAATAATGGTATATTTTTTGCTTTACCTTTGAAGTATCCGGATCATAAATAAAACTTCAGTGTTTTTTTATCCGAAAGGTATTTATGTTGCATTCTAGAATCTTCTTTTTACAATATCAATAATAAACTTTGATCACAGAGAAACAAAGAGAGAGAGAGCTCATAAATAATAGTTTGAAATGTTTTTGACACGAAAAGATCTCATACTTTGGACTTTATAAAAATAAAAGACGCAGTATTAGAAAGAAGACTTTTATGATTATTTGTTGATAAGAGAGAAGGTATTAGAAAGAAATACATGCTACGGGATGGAATATTATCGAAGAATGTACTCACTAATGATATCTGACTGTCCACTAAAGACATTCTATGTAGAACGATAGACGAAAACCTGATTTTCCTGATATTTTCCATAAAAAAGAAACACTTAAAATCAGCTGTATCGAAAAACCATTTCAACGAAGCTTTGAAAATTAGAATTCGATTTCAGTATGAAACATCAATGCTTTTGATTGACTCGTTGACCGCCGATCTGTATCGTACTTACTCTACTGTTGACTCACTTTTTCTTATTTGTTGATGGGAGGATTCCGAAAAAACAGGTGAGAAGTTTGGCCAATATTTGGGTATTTGAGGAAAACGCATTTTTTCTTTATTGTGATTAAAATAGACTCTACACTGAAAAAAAATAAGGTACTCTACCAAACCCATCAAAAAGGTTTCGTAAGTGTCGAAAGCTTGCAAATGTGTCGACGTGTTCAAAAAAATGCTTTTCAAAATCTGCCCAACCAAAAAAAGATCGGTCGGCGGGCACACGCTCCGAACCCTCATCACGGAACCTTTTTAAGTTTCGCACGCATCCAATAAAGGTTCGTCAGAAAATACGGAACCTTAAGGTTTCGCACTATGGTTTTATACNTAAATATGTAGAAGCAGGTGGTACAAAAAAAAAAACAAAAGTTTGACGATGTTGATATCTATGTTTATGATCAATTCGAACATGCTCGACATAATTTTTTATCCGTCCATGATGTTGACTTACGAAGATGGGGTTTCAAAAAGGCTCGCGAATTACACTTAAAAGATTTTCAAGCTAGTGAAGGTTGGTTATGGAATTTTAAATTTAGACATGGTATATGTAGTCGAAGAATAACGAAATTAGTTACAAAGAAAGTTGTTGAAAACCAAGAAGAAATTAATGAATCAGCAAAACATTTTGTTTTAGAAACAAATAAAAGCATAGAAGGATATAGTCCAAATCAAGTACTGAATACAGATCAATTAGGTATTGAGTTGGAGCCTCATAGTAATAGAACATTAACCTATGCTGGAGAAAAATCTAATTGGGGTTCTATTCGATCACTTGGGGCTGCAACTCATAGTTATACCATACAGCCAACAATAACAATGGATGGATCTGTTCTTAATACATTATATATGTGTTTAAAAGAACCATGAGGACGTATTGGTGATAATGTGAAAAAAAATTTGTTCCATGCAAAAAATATTGTACTTACTTGTTCTAAAAGTGGTAAATTAACTTCGTCACTGGTCGCTTATTGGGTTAATCAATGTTTATTTCCAAATTTACGATCCAGAACGTTGTTACTTCTTGATAGTTTTCCACATCAAATCCACCCAAAAGTTTATGAAGGACTGAAACATTTTGAATACTGGGTAATTCCGCCAAAAACTACCTCAATGATTCAACCCCTTGATGTTTACTACAACCGTCAACATAAGAAAATTGTTCGCCGTATATATGATCATGTACGATTAGATGAAATAAATATTAACTTATCTGAACGTAATAATTTGATCCAGTTGCAATCATTAGTACATTCACAAATGTGTTCAAAAGCGTTTCAACCGATGATAAAGTATGCTTGGTTCAAAAGCGGATTTCTGAAACATAATCCAGGTCCGTTTCAGAATGTGAAAGACATCTGCTTTACATTTCAAACAGATAAATGTCATGAAAATAGCTGTCTCAATGGACCAATGATTCGGTGTTCTTGGTGTCAACAAGAACTGTGCTTTATTCATTTTTTTTGAACTATCATTACCATCAGAATGATTAATCATTTTCTATATTGTTTATTTTTTTTCATTCACTATATGCATAAGTTTTTCTCGTTAAAACAGGGAAAATAACAAATAATCTTCTGCTTTTCTACAACAAGAAACTTTGCTCAATATTAGTTTAAAAAAGCTCGCAAAAACATTCTTTTATCAGGATGTTAAAAAAACTTTAAACAGAAAAAACAGTTATATCATTTTTACAGCAACTTGCTTTGTCTGTTTTCTCTGCAAAAAGGCAGCATGGGGATGATTCCTTTTAGGGTTTTCATCTACACTATGAACCCTATCTATGAGCAAAATATGAGCTCAAACGGAGGGTATCAGTTGGTGAGGTTCCCTCGTGAGTCTATTTTGTGACCTCTCATAAGAGATCCACTTAAATCAAAATAACTTATCGAATAGTTTACGAAAAAAGTACATGTATCAGTATTAATAAGACACAGCAAATCTTATATATTTTCCAACACACCAGCATAAAAACCGATCGATGCGATAAAATAGGTGAAGGCAAGACTGTCAAAAGGCTTGAAAAAAGCCGACCGGTTTCTTTCCTATCGATAGCGTAATAACAGTTCTTGTTTGATGATCCTTCGAAAAAACTAAACAATTAGTGTAAAATAGAATATAATATCCGAACAGTGTAGAAGTTAAGAACCCGATCAAAGACACACCAAACAGAATTCGCAATGATTCCCATCAATCAGATACTAACCTACACCGATCATGGCAGCTCGAATTCGTAGAATGTAGTGGGATTAAACATAAGCTATACAATGATACCTACTGCAACATGTGCATTTCGAAGCCATCTGATGAGACCTGTGAGCACGGTCGAAACCGGTCGACTACTATCAAAGCGAACTATTGAGGATGACAGGGGGGAAAACACGACACACACACGATATGGGAAGATTTACAAAACGAACAACTTTGTCGATACACACCAATCAGAGAGACCGTCAAAATACCAGTAACATCAAACCTATCGTAACATGAAAAGACAAATATCACTGAGCCATGACTCTGAGATGTGCGATAAGCATTCGTAAATGATGTGATTCAAAACTCAGAGCGGAATTCAGTCAATATCACCAGACCGGTTATCGGAAGATGTAGGTTCGAGTCCTGGTCTGATTTTATGATCTTTTTGGATAAGTTTTTCGTACTTATCTGAACATATCACTGTGGATACGTTGTATAATTCAGAGCTGGGCAACTCAACTCAAAAAGGTGTTCAATTCAATTCAACTCATTGAGAGCAATATGCAACTCAATTCAATTCAATTCAGTGGTTTCTAGAAATTTTTTCAACTCAATTCAACCCAATTCAGTAAAGTTCCCCAACTCACTTCAATTCAATTCGTATATGTTGAAAAATTTTCTCAACTCAATTCCATTCAATTCATGTAGCATGAAAATTTCTTGCAACTCATTCAATTCAACTCGTGAATCGAATTGAATTGGGTCCCGAGTTGTGCCGTTTTTAGGTAAAATATGTAGTTTTTAATGGGTAGAAATTAGGAAAATTACGTTTCACAATATAATAAAACATTATCAAACAGAACACAACACTTTATCTTGATGAAATTTGATAAATAAATTTTTGTCTCTCTCAATTAATAGAATATTTTTCTGAATTGAGTTGAGTTCAATTCGGAGACAACAGAAAATAATTTCCAACTCAATTCAATTCAATTCGTCAATTCAGAAAAATTTTACCAATTCAACTCAACATAATTCATCAACTCAAAAAAAGCATCAACAACTCAACTCATCCAACTCAAAAAAATGAGTTGAGTTGAATTGAGTTGGCCGATTTTTGAATTGAGTTGCCCAGTTCTGGAATTCAGTCTTTTGTTTATTAGAGAAATCGATATAAGACAATGGCATTCTTTCGAATATTTTGATATACAAGCAAATTAACGCGATCACTGAGGGGCCTTTTTTGTTCTATCTTCATTTTAACTTTTTTGAAGAAAATCTCTATGAAGTAGATTTATACTTTGTTCTTGAAAATTAATGCTTGTTTTCTAACACTTTGTAAAATATATCTTGGTCTAATGACGAACTTTTTTACACGTCGAAAATTTGCTAAATGATTGAAAGATTCTAAATACACCATTGTTATTGACTTATCTTTGAAGCATTTGGACAATAAACGAAGATCATACGATTTCATTATTTACAACTAGGAAAATCATATATTGATCTTGTCTTTTTATGATGTTCATAGTATAGTTTGATAATATATAAAAATCATAAAAATATTTTCAAGTATTTTTTGTTGGAAAGTAATTGCGTATTTTGGACTCATAAAAGCGAAAAAGGCAAAAGCAGTCATTCAACTTTTATTACTAATTTTTGATAAGAAAAAAAGTATAAAAACGGATATTTTCTTTGGAGATTTTTAGTTTACGAAAAATGTCGATGCTTAAAACAATCTTTGTTACAGCTCTTCTGATCATTTGGATTCATCCATATGTCGGTGCAGTTTGGCCAAATAGTACTGCAACATGGGAACAAACTGGAAAGTTGGTGAAGGCTGATAGTCAAGGTACTGATAAGAATTCATCAAGATTAATATCGTTGAACAAACAGACTGAGAAGAGTTTTCTCTAATATCGCTGAGAGCCTTTAGGATCAAGAGTCTCGTACAACCTTCCATTGGTTATAGGATCTATGAGGGTCACTAAGGCGTATAGCATCTAATATGTTCTTTCATGTTCTACCACGTTGAAAGAGTTCGCCACGGACTGTAGTATCTTCGAGGCTCTACAAGAGTCTATAGCCATGTAAAAGATTTGGTCCTAAAAGTAACTATTCAGTGACTTTCAATAGTGAGTTTTTGCCAATATAGACTACTTATAAGTGAACATCTATAAGTACTTTTCATACTTTTTCACTAAGAACTGGTATGACAAGTGAAAAATCAAGATGGAAAACGGATCCTCCAGGATTCGCTTTATCGTCTTTGTTAAAAATAGTAAAACAAGACACTACATTTTAACTAGTAACGATAGTATTTATAAGTAGATTTTGTTCACTTTTTGTAGATAGATATAGTAGATTAGACTGGTGTCAGTATGCGTGACAGTGTACATGCATTTGATCAGTGGTCACCCTCAAGTATTCAAGTCGCCATCGGCTGCGTCAGATTTGGTACAGATTTTAAATACCAGTAATTGCACTAAGTTTCAGGAAGATGTAGAGTTCGTGAGTAGTTGCCAACGGAAAATCAAATAAAACTTCGAAATGTTTAATCATAGTGAGAAGTTACCAATACACGATGGCCTAAAAGCCATGATATCCGAAAAAAATTGAATATCATCTTACCATTCGATCAAACGGACTGATTTTTTTAAAAAAGTATAGAGATGTGTTTAGATTTTAAATCCATATGGAAGAGATTAGTGAGAACATGGATTATGTACCAGTATTGTTCTCAACAAAGAAAAAGTTTTAATTGTTTAGAGATATAAAAATAAAACAATATACTTAGCAAAGGTTCTCACTAATGTGGTTAGTATGGATTGAAATTACCAACATGTCTCTGCGTTTGGTGAAAAGATTACATTGTTAAATCTAACTTTAGGGAGATATCTTGTTTTCTCTTTTGATGAAATGACTTTTATAACATTCTGTAAATTATTTTCCTACTAGTGGAAAATTAAAGTTCTCTTGTGGAAGTCAACAGTTACACTTAACAAAGGTTCTCACTTATCTTGTCCACATCGATGTCGAAGGTGAACTTGTCTTGCTATCAGTTAAAGAATCGAGCTTGTGCAGTGGAACAGTAAGGGAGATATTTTTAGTTTTCTTGGGACACAGGACTTTTGGACTACTCAATATCTGTTATGAGCATGATGTTAACATCTCGGCCGAGAGAGAAATAAGAGGATATATGATTTTCCTCGGAAACGATCATATATATTCAAGTTTAATGTGAAAATATTATGGTCATAACGTCAGTAAGGGTTGCTAAAAGCTTGTTTTCAAAAAAAGTTGTAGTTAACTAGCTTATTTTCTCCATATTAATGCATTCGAGCAGTCCTTCTGGTTTCCATAGGGTATAGTCTGTGCTCGTGTATTTCACAGGTTTATCTCATGTAGTAATAGTTGCTGAACAGTCTACTTTATACCGTCATTAGTTCTATAGCTGACTTTAAGTTCAATATGCTGCCATAGTTTCAATAGCGTATGTCTACCTATTTTTTCAGTATGTGTCGATTTTCAATGAAATATCGATTTAAATCGTACGAAGGACGGTATTTATTCACAGAAGAAAAGATGATTCAATTGTGCGCCTGATTAGAGACGATTTTTGATTAAATTTAACTTTGCCTAAAACGCAATTCCACTTCAGACACTTACAACGCCCCTTATATATTCAGACATTCTAATTCCACGTTGCTTACAAGAACATTAGAGAAAACCACAAGCACAAATAAGTTCCGAGTTAAAAGTGAGGATGTGAGCGTGGATATTTACTGTTTTCGCGCGCTCACACCCTCAAAATGAGGAAAAATGATATGTAGAAAATGACTTTTTCCGAATTTGAGTGACAAGGTGATGACTTTTCCTTTCGTATGTACACGATCGTTATCTCCTTCTATCGCTCGTCCTCACTAACAATTCTAATTTATTAAAATTCGAATGAAGAAAGAGAGCAAACATAATGAAATAATCGAATGAGAGAGACAGAATATAGACATTCACATTTTTACAAGTTTATTTAGATGAATGACTCTTAGGGGCAAGGAAGAGATACAAAACTACGAAAAAACTGTCCTTCAAAAACACAAAAAATCGAACAGATGGAAACAAACATATGTGTGCGGTGATACATTCTCACACTGGAATCTCTAGGATTCCAGTTAATAGTGCATTTATTCTGATTCTATAGAATACACCTACATATCTCTCGCTCTCTGACATAAAATTACTCCTTTAGGAAAACTGCTCTATCACTAATTATGCAAGGTTCATTTTTTCGTTCTTTTTAGTACCATTACGAGCACCGGCTATTGATATTTATCCGTATGCTGAATGGGAACAGAACGGTCTTACTGTAGCGGGAGGAAATGGAAGAGGCACAGGAAAGAATCAACTGGAACGCCCACACGGATTGTTTGTAGATCATGATCAAACTATCTATGTCGCTGATTACTATAATAATCGTATTGTGGAATGGAAACTGAACGCGACGAGTGGTCATGTGGTTGCCGGTGGAAATGGACAAGGAAATGGCAATAATCAGTTGTACTACCCATCCGATGTGATTGTGGACAAAGAAACAGATAGTCTCATCATCTGTGATCTCGGGAATAACAGAATAGTTCGATGGCCTCGTGGAAATGGAAGAACTGGAGAAACAATCATCTCAGACATCTCTTGTTTTGGTTTGACAATGGATAACAATGGATCTCTCTATGTCGGTAATCATCGAAAAGCTGAAGTTAGACGATATGGAAGAGGATACTCTCAAGGAACAGTGGTTGCAAGTGACAATGGATGTGGAAATGGTCTCAACCGATATTGTAGCATGGGATACGTATTCGTCGACCAAGATCATTCAGTGTACGTGTCTGAATGGTACGCTAATCGTGTGACGAAATGGGTGGTAGGGGCAAAAGAAGGCATTGTCGTGGCTGGTGGTGATCAAGGAGCAGGAAATAATCTTGACCAACTATCAGCACCACAAGGAGTCGTAGTCGATCGGTCAGGCACTGTATATGTGGTTGATCGAAATAATTATCGAGTTATGCGTTGGATGCAAGGAGCTGCAGAAGGAACTGTTATTGTTAACCGGTTATCATTTCCATTCGGTTTGGCGTTTGATTTACAGGGCAATCTCTATGTCGGCGATTATTTAGACGACCGAGTGCAAAAGTTTAATATTAAGCAGTTTAGTAAGTTTTACACTAATGAGTCGCAACTTCAGTAGATGCTAATTCAAAACCAGATTTATATGTAGTTACTATGAATCTAATATTAATCTGCATTAGAAATGGCGCATTACAAATACTTGAAATAAGTAATAACATATTACTAGGGATAATTAATGATTTTGTAAGGTGCACGCAATGCAAAAATCAAGTGAAATTTATTTTGACTTTTTTTCCACATGGTTTGATAGAGCATGAGCTGCTGATCACGATGGACTACTTTTTATTCCTTCAAGACGCTAATTTGTAGTCAGAAATCGCAAAATCCTTGAAAAACTCGCCTTTTCTGAAAAATCGGGTTTTTGGACAAAACATGCAAAAACCACCATGTTCTCGCTCTTGAAACTTTCTGAAAACATGTTTTTCAGATTCAGCATCAAAAACTGATTCAGGAAAACGTGGAAAAATCATTACTGATCCAAAATTCTTTTAATNCAAGGATTTTGCGATTTCTGACTACAAATTAGCTTCTTGAACGAATAAAAAGTAGTCCATCGTGATCAGCAGCTCATGCTCTATCAAACCATGTGGAAAAAAAGTCAAAATAAATTTCACTTGATTTTTGCATTGCGTGCACCTTAAATGAGTAATAGTAATATAAGGACTACATGGCGCAACTGATCTCGATCCAAAGTAGTGATTGAACAGATCGTTGTCGACATTCGAGATTTGGATGCCCACTGACGATTGAAAAAATACGTTGTCATATACTTAGACGTCCTAAGATTCATCTTTTAAGGAATAAGAATGCATGAAGATATTAAATCGGCAGTGAACTACAACTATAAGATATCACTTTTCTTTTCTGCACTATCAAAGTTATTGAGCCCTATTCCTCTCCCTGTAGAGTTTTCGGAAGAGGGAAAAAATATGCATGCGGGTGAGGGTAAGGATTTATTTGGGGAATAGTGAGGTTACGAATGTTGCACTAGTAGCGTCGCGACGAAATCAGTGACAGGTTCCCATTTTTCTGAAAAAGTGAGTTTTCAGGAATGTTCGAAGTGTTAGATTATATTGTTTCTGTTTTTCTCGAGGAAAAATATATTTCAAAAAATAATCGCTAGAGGTTTGCGTCAGTTCGATTGCTTGACGAGAGATTCTCAACTAATTCAGACTAGCACGTAGCCGATAAGTATACCTCCACACATCCAAGGTATGTTTGTTCAGATAAGGTCAGCAATTTCGTAAGATGAGCGCTATTCTTCTTCAAAATTAATTTCATCATATTGTACATTGAAATTGACATACTTCCCTTATTTTTAATAAGTGTGAGTTTTCAATAATTTTTCCAATACTGATTTAGAGATTATAGCTATCATGCATCCTGTACTTGTTAAAGATGCAGGTGTTGAAGAGGAAAAAAGCGTTTCTAAATTTATGCATCGTATCGGTTATATCTTATGTCAAAGTGTTTTTACTAAACACTTTATATAGCTTGACCTTACGATATGTCCATAATACATGGCTCTTTTTCCAGAGACAAGATTTAAACGCTTGTGTAAGTTATGTGAAAAGACATATCAACTCATGCGCTAGATTTATGAGGTTTATATGAATGAATGTGAATAAAACTAGAGTGTGAGAGTAGATGAGGATATAAATGTGAATGTTCCGTTTCTTTGATACTGTCATCTACTCGTTAGCATCTAGGAATATTAATACCAAAATTATTCGCCGTTGATTCATCACCTGCAAATTCAGTCTAGGAAATTTTGAACACAACATGAATACATGTTTGGATTCCTTGATCTTCCAGATGTTGAATCAAGCTTTCGAAAAAACACACCGTTATTTTCTCAAATTAGCTTTATCCTAACAAAAAAATCCAAGAATGTCTAAAAAAATTCTTCAGTACTTTCGATGTTATTTTTTTCATGAAGCAAAGGATATTTTTAGTTGTTGTCGTGAAAACTCGTTTAGCTGCGGCTGATAGTATTGGTGTGGATGTATCTTCTTCACGTAATTCCACTGACACACACTCGCACATTCATTCTATGAAGTAATCTTCAATAATACATTTTCGACAGATAATAGTACTTATAAGAGAACTTTTTGAGATACTTTTCATAGTTTTGGCCCAAGTGATACTAAGGCAAGTGAAAACTCTAAGTGGGAAATCAATCCTAGCGTTCCAAATTCTGTGATATTCTCATAGAGAAAAAAAGTGAACTATTTTAGATTCACATAGATTCCAGAAGCTCACACGATCCTTTTCGATCTCAAAAACTCAAAGGATTCGGAGATGCAACATTCGCTTTTCCGCCTTTGTTAAAAATAGTAAAATAAGACACTGTATTTTAGCTCATTCTGATAGTATTTATAAGTAGGTTTTGTTCACTATTTTTAGCTGGATATAATAGATTAGGATGGTGTCAGTGTAAGTAAGCGTATGCATCGATTTGATCAGTTCTCATGCACACCCCCACTTCGCCCTTGTCCTCACCCTCAAGATGAATCAGAGTAGCATGCAATCAAAGTTTACTCTAGGAAAAGATAATTTATGTCAAGCCTGAAGGGAAGTGGAAACGTATCACGCATAAGAGTGGAACTCTCATATGTGTCACACCATATGACATATATAAGGAAAAGAAACATATGAGTGTATCAATATTTCTATGATGGATACATCAGATAAGAGACTAATATATAAGTGTAAACAGGAAGAAGGAAAATAGAAGATGGTCGTTTAGCTCGTCGACATAAGAGAAGAAGAGAAGACGAAAAGGAAAAGGAAGCATAGAGAAAAGGGAGGAAGCACATTTCAAGGACAATTATCGTAGTGTATGAGAAGCAGAGAGAAAGTTTACAACTACTTAGATTTTCACAGTAATGTGATTGGTATGGATTTTAATCACCAACATGTCACTGTGTTTGATGAAGCGATTACGTCGTTAACTTGGCGTTCACGGAGATATCCAGTTTTCTCTTTCGATGAAGTGACTTTTATAACATCCTGTAAATTATTTTTCCTACCTCTGAAAAAGTAAAATTTTCTTGGTGAAGCCAATAGTGATACTTAACAAAGGTTCTCATTTATCTTGTCCACATAGACATTGAGTGTGAAGCTAGAGGGAAACAGCGATACTCCAATACTCCAAAAAGAATTTAGAGTATCGCGGAGTATTATCGGAGTGTCGTGGAGTACCACTGGAGTATCGTGGAATACCACTGGAGTATCGTGGAGTATGGCCGGAGTATGAGTGGAGTGCTGGAGTATTGGAGTATCGCTGTTTCCCTCTAGGTGTGAAGTTGTCTTGATATCAGTTAAAGAATCGAGCAGTAAAGAAGGTATTTTATTTTTTTGGGTAACAGCACTTTTGGGTTACTCAATATTTATTATGCACATGGCGTTAATATTCCGACCGAGAGGGGGGAATAGAGGGTATATGATTTTCCTAAGAAACGATCATATATATTCCATTTTGATGTAAAAATACTATGTTCATAGCGCTCGTAACGATTGCTACACGCTTCTTTTCAGAAAAGTTGTAGCTAATTTGAATATTTTTCATGTTATTCTACTCGAGCAACCCGTCTAGGTTCGACAGGGGGTAGTCTGTGCTCATCGATGCCTTAGGCTTATCTCATGTGTTAATAGTTGCTGAGCAGTCTATTCTACATTCAAATTAGTTCCACGGATATCTTAATGTTTAGCATGCTGTCATAATACTAATAGGATCTATCCACCTATTTTGTCAGTATGTGTTGACTTTCAAGGAAACATCATTTTAAATCGTCTGAGAGAACAGTATTTATTCACGGGAGAAAAGATGATTCAATTTTGCGCCTAATAAGAAACGAATTTTGATTAAATTTAACTTTGTCTAAAAATCAAATCTACCTGCAACACTTACCATGTCTCTTGTATACCCAGAGGTTCTTATTCCACGTTGTTTACAATAACATCAGCAGAAACCATAAGCACAAATGAGTTACGAGTTGAAAGTGAAGATGTGAGCGTGGATATTAACTGTTTTCGCGCGCTCACATCCTCATCCTGATTTTCCTTTTCGTATGCACACAATGGTTATCTCCCTCCATCGCTCGTGCTCACCAATCATTCCAATCGCTTAAAATTCCAATAAAGAAAACGGGCAAAGATAATGAAATCATCGACTGAGAGAGAGAGAGAGAGAGAGAGAGAGAGAGAGAGAATATAAAGATTGACATTCTTACAACTTTATTTAGATGGATGGCTCTCAGAGACAAGGAAGAGAATCAAAACTACGAAAAATCTGTCCCTTAAAAACACAAAAAAATCTAATAGATAGAAACAAAGATGTCTGTGCGCTGACAATGAGATAAACGAAATGATAGATGAACAAAGAAAACCAATATTTCTCAATTCAGATAGTTGCCAGCCATTCTCACTCTGAAATTCCTAGGATTCCAGTTAATAGTTCATTTATTCTGGCTCTGCAGAACAAAGCCACATATGTCTCGCTTCTATTCACTCACACTGAAAAAAATAAGGTATTCTACCTAACCCATCGAAAAAGTTTCGTACATGCTCAAAGCTTCCAAATGTGTCGACATGTTGAAAAAAATGGTTTTCAAAAATCTGCGAAACCAAAAAAGGATCGGTCGTCGGGCACACGCTCCGAACCCTCATCACGGAATCTTTTTAAGTTTCGCCGCAAAATACGAAACCTTAATGGATTCGTACAAAACCTTAGTGCGAAACCTCAAGGTTCCGTATTTTCTGGCGAACCTTTATTGGGACCGTGCGAAACTTAAAAAGGTTTCGAGGTGACGGTTCGGAGCGTGTGCCCGCCGACCGATCCTTTTTGGCTTCGCAGATTTTTGAAAACCATTTTTTTCAACATGTCGACACATTTGGAAGCTTTGAGCATCTACGAAACTTTTTCGATGGGTTTGGTAGAACACCTTATGTTTTTCAGTGCACTCTCTCATACAAAAGCACTGTTTTATGAAAACTGTTCTATCACTAAGTATACAACATTCCTTTTTTCGTTCTTTTTAGTGCCATTACGAGCACCTGCTATTGATATTGATCCATATGTCAAATGGGAACAGAAGGGTCTTACTGTAGCTGGAGGGAATGGACAAGGCACTGGAAATAATCAACTAGACCGACCATGGGGTTTGTTTGTAGACGATAATCAAACTATCTATGTCGTTGATTACTGGAATAGTCGTATTGTGGAATGGAAACTTAGCGCAACGAGTGGTCGTGTAGTTGCCGGTGGAAATGGGCCAGGATATGGCAACCATCAGTTATACTACCCAAAAGATGTGATTGTGGACAAAGAAACAAATAGTCTCATCATCTGCGATGCCGGAAATGACAGAGTCGTTCGATGGCCTCGTCGAAATGGAAAAACTGGAGAAACGATCATTTCAAACATCAACTGTGAGGCTTTGACAATGGATAAGAATGGATCTCTCTATGTCGGTGATGACAGAAAAGCTAAAGTAATACGATATCGAAGAGGAGAGTTTGAAGGAACAGTGGTTGCAGGTGGCAATGGGAAGGGAAATAGTCTCAACCAAGTCTCTGGCGTAGGATACGTATTCGTTGACCAAGATCGTTCAGTGTACGTGTCTGAATGGGGAAATAATCGTGTGACGAAATGGATGGTAGGTGCAGAACAAGGCGTTATCGTAGCTGGTGGTCTTGGAGAAGGAAATAGTCTTACGCAACTGTCGACACCACGAGGAGTTGTTGTCGATTCGTCAGGTACCGTCTATGTAGCTGATCAAGAGAATAATCGAATCATGCGTTGGATGAAAGGAGCTACAAAAGGAACTGTTATTGTTGGTGGTGATGGTATGGGGGCACAACCGAATCAATTCTTATGGCCAATCGGTTTGGCGTTCGATTTACAGGGCAATCTCTATGTCGCCGATCATAACAATGCCCGAGTAGAAAAATTCAATATTAACCAGTTCGGTAAGTTTTACATCAATGAGTCTCAACTTAATTAGATGCTAGTTTAAAATCAAATTTATATGTAGTTACTTTGCATCTAATATTAATTTGCATTAGAAATGGCACATTACAAATACTGGAAATAAGTAATAACTAATGATGTTATAACTTATTACTAGTAATAAGTAATGATTTTGAAAATTAATAATAGGAATAAAAAATAATAGGAATATAAGGACTACATGGCGGACATAGTCTAGACTCAAGATAGAGGTTAACTAGGTCGTTGTCTTCACTCAAGAGTTGGATGCCCATTGACGATTGAAGAAAGATGTTGTCATATACTTAGACGTCCTAACGTTTATCCTTTAAGGAATAAGAATGCATGAGGATATTAAATCGACAGTGGGCTACAACCATAGTATATCACTTTTATTTTCCGCACTATCAAAGTTATTGAGCCGTATTCCTCTCCCTGTGGGGCTTTCGAAAGATCAAGAAAAAATGCATGAGCAGTAGTTTTATTTCTGCACTCTGGAATTATTAATACACTCTCGCTCCATCTCTAGATAATAAACACCAGAGTTATTAATAGACATTTAAGCAGAGTGTAATGGGACAATGTCTGACATACGTAGATCAAGTTTTTTGTCACTCGACCGTAATCGGACACTAGTGGAAGTAGCAGTACACAATTTCGGAAATAGGTCTGCAAGGTAGAAACTGATCTCGAAGGAATGCCAGGTTTTTGTGAATTAAACAGTTCTTTCCATCTCACTTATGTATTATCACATAGGGTGCAGGTGAATGAGGGTGAGGCTTTCTATGCAGATGCTAATAAGAATGTGAGGGTGTGGCCTTTCCTGTAAGAGCTGCACCAGTTGCATACCGACTAAATCAGTGATAGGTTGGATTTACTGTGAAGACTTACTTTTGGGGCATATTCGAAGTGTTATAATATCTTGTTTACGGTTTTCTTAAGGAAAGAAAGCTAAAAAGCAGAATCGATAGAGAATTGCACTCGTTCGATCGCTTGACGAGCCATTCACCACTAACCCAAACTAGCACATAGGAGATGAGCACACCTCCGGAGGTCCAAACGGATATCTTCACACGCTCATGGTATATTTATTCAGATAAGGCCGGCAACTTCGCAGGATGAACGTTGTTCCTATTGAATACTTATTCTTTCATATTGTACATCGAAATCGACATACCTCTCTTATGTTCAATAGGTGTGAGTGCTTCATAAGTTTTCCAATACTAATTCTGACGTTATAGCTAGCATGCGTTCTGTGCTTGTTAAAGATACAGGTCTTGGGGAGAGAAGAAAAGCTTTTCTGAATTTATGCACCGTACCGATCGTATCTTGTATAAAAGTTTTTTCAAACACGTGTTATGACTTGACCTCAAGATATGGCCATCATGCATGGATCCTGTTCTACAAACAACATTTGAACGCTTGTGTAAGTTATGTGAAAAGACAAATCAACTCATGCGCTGGGCTTATGATGTTCATATGAATAACTGTTAATAAAACTGGAGTGTGAGAATAGATGAGGATATAGATGTGATGTTGCGGTTCTTTGACACTCTCATCTACTCGTAACAATATTAATACCAAAATTATTCGCCATTGATTCATCACTTGAAAACTCAATCTTGAAAATTTTGAACAAAATATGAATATAGTTAACCCAAGGTTCCCAGAGTCGCGAAATCCGAATCTATTGACATTTTTAGTCGTTGTCGTAAAAGCGCGATTAGTTGCAGCTGAGGGTGTCGCTGTGGATATGTCTTCTTCCCGTAATTCCACTCGCACACTTACCCTTAACTTCGAGAAACTACTAGCTGTCATAAGATCTATCTGTAATAAAAAAACTCAGACCTAAATATCATTTTTTACTTGTTCAAGCCTCACTAGGGTCAACTTGTGTACAAGCTATCAGCGCGAAAACGATTTATCACTCGGTAACCTTCCCTCGTTAGTGTAACTTTGTGATACAGAATGAGTAGAAGCATTATTGGCTCACTTTCGCTATAAAACTCTTCATTAGTTAAATATTATATTATAGTGATAAACAACCGAGACGAACAAAATATAGTCTCAGAATGTGGGATTATTCCTTGCTGTGTGTTTGAGATCACGTAGTCATTCATCCTCTAGAGAATTTAACATCTTTATTTGAAAGTAATGAAATATTTGAATAGAATTCTCAGAGTAACTATGCATTCACTCAGTATTTTTATTCATCTTGTAGTCCAAAGAGTATAGATATGAGCTTGAGTAGTTTTCGTTTACTCTCATGCTCAAGCTTATGGGAGGGTGATTTGACTTAATTTAAGATTAAGTTAAGTTTTTTACTTAAGACCTACTGTCAAGTGTTTAGTAGAAACATCTGATGTAAAAGTTAGATTGAATGTAATTGGATTTTAATGGAAAAATTGAACGTACAATATTAAGTGACTCATCCCTGCTTAAGATGTTGTTTTGAACTTTCACAAAAATGAGAAATGACATAGAATATGTAGGAAAGGGATAAGTTCCGAAGCGAAAAACTTACTTTCATGCCAATTGTTTGAAATTGAATGATAGCATCTAAAATATTCATATTTAGAGTTATTTATCGGAATCATTAGACAACAGAGCTCAAATCTATCCACCTGTAAGTCTGAAAGAAAATGCAATCAATAGCTGCCTGTGAGAGAAATATTTTTGTAGGCTTCTGAGGAAAATACTACTAAATTTCGATGTATAATGATCAGTGGTCGAATTTTGACATTTCAATTATAACCTGAAACTAAAATCTTTTCTTTCCAAAATTAACTTTGAAGCGTTTTTCATTGAAAATCTACGCATATAGTAAATTCGTTATCAGAGAACCACTTCAGATTATCTAAATAACTAAAAAATAGAATGCATTCTTCATATATATTTTTGTTAATTTTTCATTCATTGAGCACATTTTCGATTTATCTTCACTTTCGCTCTTGAGATATAACGTCCGATAAATAAACATATTTGCACCGTCTTCGCACGTTTAGGAGTCTATCCTAGACTAGAACGACTATCATTGTTGCTAGAAGTCCATTTATGCCAAAAGTTCACCAAGCTATAATATAGGCGTGCGCCAATCCCAGAATCGAAATGGGCTGGAGCTAACTGGACTTCACCCGAGATAGATTGAAATATGTTACTAATTTTAACACAACCAACACTAGTTTCGAACAGTCCTCATTAGTGGCAGACAACTTTACAGTAGCAAGAAGCACTTAGAGTTAGTTTCCTGTTAGATCTCACAAAGTTGTTAAGTATATCACGTCGGGCTTAAATCAATTCTAGGCAGTCCCAGCCAGTGCTAACCAATTCCAATCCCATTCGATTCCAAATCTGGACCGATTTCATTCGATTCTAATCCCAATCCTAAATTAGTCCCTCTTTTATTTTGGAAATGTCTTGATCAATCCATAAACTTCCCATCATCATTTTAACAATTTAAAAATTTCCATCCTTTTTAGCAAACCCTAACACTAAGGTTCGTTTATGATATAATTTTAAATCACGAGATCACCTTAGAGTCTGTATTTAACAAGGAGCACTACAAATAAATCGTATTCTTGCTATTTATGAACCGTTAAATCATCGGTTTATAAATGATGTAAAAAGCTTCGTTTGAGTGAAAAGCAGAGTATACGAACAAAGTTGTAATTGGTAGAATTCCATTGCCATGTAATCCATCAATAGCTAAGTATTAAACGCTTTGATTCGTGGAAACCGAATAAGCATACAAAGTTATCGTTGTTTCAATTATTCACTTCCTGCGTCTACTACGCCGTTATGATTAACTTCAAATTTTCCTGCAAAATAAGCAAAATATTTTTATAAAATCCTATTACAATTGGTCCATTTTGCACGTGTTTCTCAATCACATAATCAACTAGAAACCTTTGTTTCGAAGTAACAAAAAGATTTAAATGAAATCTTCCTGGTGAGGTTCATTTACTTCTTATGTGTACCCCCACGATAAAATCCATTCACAATATCTGCTGCGAAGTGAGAAATACGTTCACACAAAACTCTGCTGTGGCTTATCCATCTGTCATATATTCCCCTATCACAGAATCCGCTTGAAATCTTTGTTCCGAAGTAAGCAAAATATTTGAATGGAACTTTCTTGTGATTTATTCGTTTATCAGCTGTATGCGAGTGATATGGCTAAGTCGACAGTTTTCTTTACAGCAGATCATAATCTTTTTAAAAGAATTTTGTTTCTATTCTTCATTTATTATACGTTGCTCGATATCATAATTGCATTGAAATCTTTGCCACGAATGAGCGACATCCTTGAGTAAAACATTATTATGAAATATTCATTTTTGATGTACTTCTTGATGAGTAATATCACTTAAAACCTTTGCCAAAAATTAGCGACAGTTTTGAAATAAAGTCTAGTGTAAAGTATTCGCTCATCCTGTACTTCTTGATGAGTAATATCACTTAAAACCTTTGCCAAAAATTAGCGACAGTTTTGAAATAAAGTCTAGTGTAAAGTATTCGCTCATCCTGTACTTCTTGATGAGTAATATCATTTGAAACCTTTGCCAAGAATTAGCGACAGTTTTGAATAAAAGCTTCGTGTACAATATTCACTGATGATGCACTTCTTGACCATATAGTCAACTGAAAACATTAACATTCATCTGATTAGTTTAGTGGAATATAATGTTGATGTGAATTATTCACTGATGATGCACTTCTTGACCATATAGTCAACTGAAAACATTAACATTCATCTGATTAGTTTAGTGGAATATAATGTTGATGTGAATTATTCACTTATCAGCTATAGGTGTATCATATAGCTATATGGGAAATTTCGCTTCATTTTGATTAAAATAAATCTATAAGACTTTTGTTTAAAAGATCCATTTGGCATGTGTTTGTCACTTTCATCATTGACGGTAGACCGATGCTACAAAATGAGGGACATTTCTGGACAGATTCTTTATTCAGCTTAATCACTTTACCAATTCTCTTTGATTGTATAGGAAATCC